TGATGATGGATGGCAGAGAACTGAACCTCGGTAAGGTGGAACAGGAGCAGAAGGAAGCATTGCTCCCAAAAGCGACCCTCATACCTCCTTGGTTTAAAAAAAAAAAAAAAACCCACCATAAGAGGCAGCAGCAGCAGCAGAAGACAACACACACTTCTCCCTGCCCGTTTGGTATTCAGCTCTGGCCTGTCAGAGGCAGCCACAGTCCAACCACGCATTGGTATATTCACTGAGCCGTACATCCAGCTCCACAGACTTCTGACAGACGCAGATGGCAAAGCCATTTTTCATAAGGTGAGGGGAAAAAGGGAAAAACAAAATAAAGGCTCAGGCATCAGCTGGAAAAGATGCAAGACAGGATCAGGGCTAACAGAGAACCAGAAGCAGGTTAAACTCTTGGATTTCGAAGCAAACAGAGAGGCAGGTCCCCTGCCTCTCTTTTCTAGCATGGCCTGGCAGCAACAACTCCCTTCATTCTTTCCTTTGTAACCAGCTGGAAAAATAAAAGCTGGACTGAAACAGCATTGAGGCTTTGCTGAATTTGTCCTTGAGGACAGAGGGCTGGCAAACAGGATGCTGGAGTAGTGCAGGCACAGGCATCCTCTGTGAAATTAGCTCCTATTTAGAGGAGGTGAGACAGCCTGTGGAGAACATTAACCATCACCACATTTGTCTGTCTCTCAGTCCCTAACTTACATGAGGCCTGGCTCCCCCGGAGCACAGTCCGTCCCCAGGGCTCTGCGGGGAGAGCCCTGGCAAACCCCTGCCGGTAGGAAGGTGCCAGCACTGTGAAGCATCTCAGTGCAATACTCCCCCACGACGGCAAACGCAGCAACTCCCAACAACCCCACTTCAGCTCGGACAGTGACAAGCGCTCACTCCCTGTCCTAGGGCACTCACACAGCGAACCTTACTGCTGAAGAGTCATCAGCGACACAGAGAACTAATGCTTACTGGCACAGGAAGAGGAACGAAGCTCAGTACAGTATATGCCATCCCTTGTGTAGCATGTAGGTATGCCCTGCTTGGCTTTGAGAGCAAGCAGTTCTTGATATAAGCCAAGGAGAAGAAAAAGAAAGAAGTACCCCCACGGAGGGAAAGATTTCACCTCTTCCAGTGACACTCTGTTATAGTCACTGCCAGACACAACATCAGCCTCTCAATGTGAAATCTAAGTTGACAGTGATACCGCAAAGGAGCGGAGAGTGCGACAAACTCTGCCCAACCCACTTTGTAACCTGAAATCTCCACTGGCTTCCAGCCTCTGCATGGAGCACAGCCAGTAATTCATCACCAAGTTACTTAGCAAGTAGACCTTCTCCTTTCTCCCGAGCTGAGGGCTAATCTGTCTTTGAAGTAACCTGTCCTAGGTACCTCTGAGGAGGATTTCGTTTTGATCTGACTGTTGCATCCACTTCATTTCTGAAATGAGAAACACGTGCAGAGGCCAATGCCTCCCTTCCAAAGCAATACACATGCCCAGAAGCTGAGGTCACCAAGGGCCTGCAAAATTTCTGCTGCCAAAGTTCAGGTGCTTTCAAACCCACCCGAGGTGCTTCAAGCACCTTTTTTTTTTTTTTATTGTAGAAACAGTTTTGCTTTGAGTCAGAGCACTGAGAGCCGATCTGCCTACACGTATCACCCAGCGCCAAATAATCCCTACAAAGAAGAGAGATGGCAGCCAAGACCAACGAGTGCATTGCAAGGATTCACCCCCAGGTAGCCCTGTTGCCTGTGGTATTTCCAGCTGACACGTGCTCTCCTTGCCCAGGGAACGGACGATAGCCGGGCTAGGGAGCAAGGCTTGGTGAAGCTTACTACTGGGACCTGGTAGAAACGTCATCCAGCAACATACACTTCAACATTCATTCCCAAGCAGCCTCACTCCATAATAAAAGCGTCAGAGCAGCTGACTTGTGTCCCCTCCCAGCCTCACTGCCTCCAGAACTATTCTTTCTTGGGCTTCTCTTGCTCCGTAAGCCAGCACGTGCCTTTTCTTTCCATAGCTTGGCATTGGAACTCAGCCAGCCGAGACTGTAGGAGGAAAGGAAAACAAGCCAGGTGAAGGGTTCAGGGAAAAAAGCTCAAGAGCCAAGTTTTCCTCTCATTTTGGCTGCTCTCAGTTCACAATGGAAGGCAGGAAAAATGAAAGAGACCTTAATGTGAGGACTGTCCCTGTGAAATAGCATTATTAGCTACTATAAAAGTCAGAGTGCGCAGCTGTCCTCTTAACGCTCTTCCTGGGTAGGGGAGGGAGATCTTAAAGCTGTTCAAGAAAGCAGTTCAGGACCTTTTTCTTCTCCTTGTTTTCAAAAGGGGAAACTGAGGCATAGGGCAATTAGAGATTTGCCCAACCAGTTAGCAGCAAAGGCAAAATGACAAGCCAACCGATTTTGTGTCCCGAATCAACGCCTGCTGGGCATTGCATTGCCAAGCTGCTGGGTTGCATTGCCTCCATCTCAGGGAGCTCAGATCAGATTCCCAATAAAACCCAGCTCAGAAGCGAGAGTCTCTGAGCCTCTCACACTCCTGCCATGAAACCTTTCCCAGAGGAAACAGGACAGGGGAGAGGAGATGAGGATCCCTGCGAGTCAGGGGCTTTGGGAGTGCTGGGCAAAAAAAAAAAAGATATTAATGCTACTTTGCAAAGCTAAAAATACTCAGAATGGCGAGAGATTTTTTGCTGTTTGTTTTTTCTTCTGTTTTTCCTTTTTTTTTCTTGCCCTACAAAGGAGTGTGCCACACAAAACGATTTCCCTCCAAGCTGCAAGGACCAGGCGAGGCATCCTTCAACGGTGAGTGAAAGAGACTGGATCACAGCTTTGTCGGGAGCATGCTGGCCCCAGGGAGATGAGATAGCCAAGGTGGGGGAAGGTAGACTCCGATCGCAGAGATCCTGGCGGCTAATTCACAGTAACTGGGAAAGACAGTTCTGTGCCAGGCGCCAAGCTGGGGCACAGGCTCTGTTTCTCCTACGCAAGAGAGACACCAGCAGCAAAAGTGAGTCCTGAGCATCTTGATTGCCCTGGGAGGACGGAGACTAAGAGATGATTGTGGCGGTGATAGTGGGTTGCAGGTTGTGAAACTGCTTTCCAGGGAGAGAAGCAGAGAAAACCTCAGAACCCTAAAGGCAGTCTGGACATATTTCCAAAAGATGTAGAAGGCAGAGTCCATGATACCTCCTAGAGCCTGGAGCTTATCACCCAAGGACATCTTTTTCTGACCTATGCTAGGGTACCTGTTCGGGTACATGGCTCACTACCTAACACCCATTTCTTCCATGCAGTTGACAGCTTGGAGAGAGCCAGCTTGATTCCAGCAATGAGTACTGGTCAACAGGCAGGAAAAAAACCACGCTGCCCCACACTGGGCTATAAAAGTACTTTTTAGCTGCATCACAGCTGTTTCTCACATCTGGATACAGACAGCACTTAAAATATTGCAGCTGGCACAAGCTCCTTCGTTAGCATTTTCCTCATCCTGTTAACATCAGGCAGGGGAGAGGTCCGGCGTTCGAGGTGAGAGTGCACTTCATCTCTGTCAGGTTCTCCTCCGCTAATGAAAATATTTCTCCACTGTGTCCTCGGGAAGGTTTCCTTCAGCTCCAGCCCCTGTGTGATTGAAGGCTAATCTCTGTTACTCTTGGCTGAATGGCAGCCCACGAGGAGGGTGATGTATTATGTTTCCCTTCAACTTGACGTTTAATGGTGCCAGCAAAAGAAGAAAAAGCGCCATATGTTCCCAATTTTAAATGAACTCCTTCCGAAACTTGGAGTTGAAAGTGAAGAGAGTCCACTTTGGGAGAAGGGATCCACACTGCCTCACACACTGTGAACAGAGCGCCCTCCCTACAAATTCAACCCTTTCTGCCCACTTCAAAGGGCTATCTCATGTGTCAGAAATCCGCCCCAGAGGTAGTGCAGGTGATCACGCATGGCCATGAGAAACGACCTGTCCTGAAACTGCTCTGTGCGCTGTGACTGGCCTTCAACGAGTTCCCCATTGCCAGCCCGGCCAGTGCAGGCAGCCTGGGAGAAACGCCAAGGTCAGGAGCGCAGAATATTTGGGCCTTGGAGCTACGGCACGTGATACGGACTCAACGTTTGCAGGCCACATCCTTGGCTCCTCTGGCTGCTTTGAACAAGTCTCCGGAAGCCTCAAGAAGTGAAATTTTCCAATCCGCAGTGTTAGTCTCCCCTGTAAAATGTTCTGAGACCTGTCAATGAAGAACACAGAGAAATGGTTAGGATTACAATTCTCTTACTGGTATACCTGCCTGCTCATGCTCAAGGGCGCACAGGGCCCTGTAACACACCATGTAACCATGTAACACTTCCTCCTCTGTTCCAGAGCCTAGCAGAGGGGGCAGACAGCTCTGCAAACGTGCTCTGGACCATCCCCACCTACACAACGGCGTGAGAAACCCAGCCTTTCTCCAGGAGAGATTGCAGGCACTTCACATTTCATTGCTATAAACGAACAGAGTGGTGGGAATGTGATGGATGTTGCCGAACTACTTGGAGTCCTCATACACATGGGAACTGCCAAAGGGAGAGAAGTATGAACCTCATTCCCATCTCCTACTCACACCCTGACCGCACACCTCCAGGTTTTGGCGAGAAGTGGCTCTCTTTTCCCTCTGAAGCCTCCAGGGCCTGGGGGTAGGGAGGAAGAGGAGCCAGTCTGAAGGAAGATCTGCCATTTGGCTCTTCATTCCTAAAATCCTATGTACACCAGCAGTCACAGCCCACTTCTCCAGATGGGGAAACTGAGGCACTGAGAAGCAGCCGGCCTTCCCCAGTGACTTTAATAAGTCAGAGCTGGAACTAAAAAGCACAAAGCTCCTTAGCCTCAGCTCACAGCTCTCCCTCTGCTGTTGCATTTCTGTTGTTTTGGTCCTTGCTAGAGCAACCCAGTTGCCTGTCACAGCAGTCTCTGCACCCTCTACTAGCAAGGCTTTGCACTTTTCTCCTCCTCTTCCTAAACTAACAGCATTGTTGAGGACACACAAACACAACACAGTCTCTCCTGTTTGCTTTCCCTTCTCCTACTCCCCTTCCCATCTCCCCCAACCTTGCTTGCCACTAGCCCTAGATGTGGGGTGGTTACCATGGACCATGCAAAACGCATCTTTGAACAGTCAGATCTGGAAGAGGAGAAATTAAAGGCAACGGAGGCAGAAGGAAAAAGAAAAAGTTTTCCAATTACTGGCAATTAGCTCTACTTAATGCTCACCTACTGTGCGCTGTAACCCAAATGCAATCACTTGGGTAGAGAAGAGCGCGCAGGGCTGGCACACCACGTACCTGCTGGCACAGTACACAGACAGCGTTTGCTTGCCTCACGCAGCCAAGCTGCTTGTCGGGGGTGTTCGGCACAAACAACCACAGCCCTTTTGGAGGTCTCTGCCAGCCTGGTGAAGTCAGGGCTGGTGCTTTCCTCTGCTCTCCTGAGCTGTGGCCCAAACCCTTAAGAAGAAGCAGAGGAGCCTGCTCGGAGCTGAGGCCCAGCACGGGAAATTGCCCAAGGGATTTCCATCCTCAATCCCAGGCCCACCCGTCCAGGCTGTGTGGCTGGCTTTCCTTCACAGGAGGGATGCTGGCTGCAGACAGCACCACGGGCCGCCTGTTCGTGCAGTCACAGACCGCTGACAGAGACATTTTCCCCCCTGCAGGAGGGCACACTTTGCCCCGAGCCGGGGGAAGGAGGAGGCACTCAGCCAGCCACTAATGCTTCCTACTGTCTTGGAGCAAAGGGATGAATTAGCCTTTATTAGCTCTCACGAAGAGCACATCACTCCTGCCCTCTCCTCCTCACCCAAGACTCACGCACAGACTCAGCTGTGCTGTAAGCAAAGCAGAACCAACTCACCTCCCAGCCCGCGGCTCCAGACTCTTGTTGGCCTGGTATAAATCTTCCTGCTCTCCTAGCTGGGAGCTAGGACACAGCCATCCTCCAAAGGGTGCTGTGAGGCCCTTGCTGCCCATAAGTACTTTAAATCTGGACCTCTTAACTGGCACTACACAGAGCCTGAAGGAGGGCTCATTTCCCATGCCATCAAAGCCAGACCCAGCACGTGGTCGCTACTGATAACATCTGGACTTGGGGAGCAAACAAGGTTGCTATTGGGAGGAGGCTGTGCTTTCCTGCAGAGAGCTTCTGCCACATGATGTATTTCTGAGCTCCAGCACCCAGTCATCACCAGGGGTGAGGGATGGGTTGCTCCAAAGAAGTCTCTCTGAAGTCGCTCTGGGGCTTGTTAGCAGGGCGATAAAGGGGATGAATGGCCTCAGAGCAATGCTCCATCTCCTGCTGCGGCATTCGTTATCCCTCTGGCGGGCAATCCTTCACACCATCTTGGAGTTGCGGGCTTGCTCGTTTCTCGTCCGCGGGGGCTGCTTCGCACAGAGGCCGTGCTCTGCACTCGCGATCATCGCCCCCGGCACATGAAGCGCAGCCCCGTCTGACTAGCCTGCAGCATGGCAACCCTGTGCAAGATGGCTGGGGGCACTGCAGCTCTCCCGCGTATTCTCCGAGCTCATCTCCTTCCTCTCACTTAACCATCTCGCCTTCCCAAACTCACAATTTGGCAAACAGAGCCACAGCTGCATCCCGCATCTGCGGGAACCAGAGCCAGACGCACTTTCAGTCTAATCCCCCAGGAGATGTAAAGCATATGCAAGCTTGTTGAACTAGTCTAATCCCTGCCCACTCCCCAGTAACTTCTGACACTGCAAACAGATTTCAACTTGATCTGACAGAGAGACAGAGGTCTCAGAGATAGTCAGAGTCTATAAATTTCACGGGAGCAGACTGTCAAACAGAGGAGAGAGATTATTAGCGCCTTCCAAACTGCAGTGTATCATCCCTTATTAGACACCAGACAATCTGTGTGGGAGAGAGATGCTATAAATATCCCAGCTGGGGAAGCTGCTTCATTCACCACAAGTGGCTTACTAGACACCAGAGAATCCAAAACCAAGCTATACATCCTTGGGAAATGAGACTTCATGGATTCTGCTGCACGCAACACTAATTGGAGTTTTTAAACATGCTCAGCTAAAATGAGAGCCAGCCAGCTAAAATGGCGCATTAACCTCTGGAAAGTCCCTGGAAAAAGGCTGTGTGCTTTTTCCTTGCTTTTTTTCCCAGTGACCACGTCAAGGTCCTGGTGTGCTCAATTCACCAGCCTACATCTTTTGCTGTTGAATGTTTTGGGAATAGCTGCTCCATTTACAGCTTCACTGGTGATTTACAGAGTACTGTTGCAATCCCAGCCATATGGATGAGTTCAGATGCTGCCTGAAATGGAAGGGGCATGCCAGCTCCAAGGAGGAGCACTGATGGGCAGAGAGCTTCTCTCTCTCCTGTGACACCCCCAGTTCCTCTCTAGCGTGTGGACAGAGATTTCAGCTTCCAGCAAGAAGTTTCATCCACAGACTGCTGCCAGCAAATGCCAGGAACGCAATCGAGAGGCTACAGAGCTCATGGCAGTATCACTTATACATCAAGCTGTCCAGTAGCAGGATAACCAGTTAGTGGCATTTGTTACATTGTAAGGGAGAGGGAGTCTGTCCCTCTAGACACCCCGCTTGCTCAGGACCAGACCCACACACCAGCTTCAGTGCAGACTCGCAAGCCCATCGAGCACAGAGATGGAAGGCAGCAGTGTGGGTGCAAAGCTCAACCTTCCCCCCAAGGACAGAGCGCGCCCTAGTAACCCTTCCCTTTCACTTACACGTAGAGAGGGACACAACAGCCTCTTAGCTCTCTTTGAAGGCCAGGGCTTGTGGGAGCAGAGCAATGACTACCGGCTCACACCCCAGCAGCACAGATGTTAGAAACAAGGCATGCATAAAACGTGCATCAGCTCTGGCCAGCAAGGGCAGATCCATCTCCCAGCCTCTCAGGCCCAGGACAGGGCCGATCACCCTCCACCACTACCAAGCAATTAAACAGCACACACATCACTCAGTGTGATACAGCCTTCTGAGAGCAATGCTAAGAAGCCACTTACTAGAGCTGATGACTGGCCTTCGCTGATCACCTTGTTTCAGCGACCCAATTAGGACACCCTAATTGGGCAGTTTCAGGGTGGAATCTGGAGTCCCTCTTCCAGGGAACTTTCCCGTCAGTGATCACAGCGCTCTCCATTACATGACAGGGAAGTGCAATCAGAAACAATTAGTGGCAAATGTTCTTGCATGGTACATGGCAAGGCGGTGAAGGTCACAGGAGCTTGCAGAGTCCAGCAATTCAGTTTTATCTGCCCCATTTGCTGACCCTGCTGTGCAAGAAAGCCAAGCCCCATATGCATTTAGGGGACAGAGTGGGCAATCCACGCGCTCATTTAGGGTCTCTACTGACCCAGTCTTTATCTGTTCACAGTGTCACTTCCAGCCTCAGGCGTCTGATGGTCCAGAACCCTGGAAGTAATTGTGAAGTGGAAAATAGCCAATTTTCCTCCAGCTCATATGTGACCATGGCCCAGCTGGACAGACACATTTTGGGAATTCTCTGATTCACCTGGTAAAGGTCAAGTCTGCGGAGATGCTGTCAGTCCAGTGGACCATACAGAGTGTATACCTGCAGGGTTTCAACTCTGCAAAAAGATTAGTTAAATATGCTACAGCACAAAAGACGGAAAGACGGGCAAAACGTGTTTTCTAGTCACTCTGTCCTAACTGTTCGGATCCAACCTTTCACAGCATTGCACTGAGCTGAAGGGCTGCACCTGAAAACATGCCAAGAGCTGCATGAAATGTTAATGTTGCAATTAAAACAATATGAATATTGCAGCACTGCTCTGCTGCTCCCCATCCACTGAACAATTCTTATTCAATGGAAGTCAAGTTACATTTGAGGAAATAATGAGGTCTGCTAATTAAGTCTGGTCTAGGAAGCCAGCAAGCTTAAAAGGAAAAAAAAAAATTCAGATCTCCCCAAAACGTGTACATTTGCTGCTTATTACCTGCAAAGGGAAATCATTAATGCTGTGCAATGCCAGGATTACAGGTCAGTGCCATTGTCTTATTGCATACATCTAGAGGAAATTATCTTTTTAATGATAAAACGCATAAGTCATGACCTGCTTTGTCCCTAGGAGCTGAGCGGGAAATGCCAGGCTGACAATTTCCACTTTCTGAATGCAGAAATCAGACATCTGACAGTAATGCCAAATTCAGGCTAGGCTAGTGAGAGGCAGGCATAGGCTCC